TATGAGGTTCAGGGCAAGTGTTTGGCTTTATGCCTGCCATGGGTAGCATGGGTGACTAACTCAGACCAGTCTCCTGTGATGAAGGATCATAATACTGATTGCACAGGGCTGAAGGAGGGATTGGAGGTGATCAACTTCCTGGCTCTAGTTCAGCAAGACCATCATGTTTAGGACCCCTGGGCCATAAGGGACCTGCTCCTTCCTGGACACTTCTCCAGGACTCTGCCACTTTTCTTCCTGGTCTGGCCAAGGCCTGGTAAACTATTGGGGAAGATGAGGTCCAGACAGTGGCAGTGAGGCCGAGGATAAACAGGTGCTGGCTACATTTGCAGAAGAGATTAGATCATGTGTCACATGTCTGAGCAGCACACTATGTGCTTAGGCACCGTCTGTGGGGTCCTGGCGAGTGGGCGGGCAGTGTTGGCCAAAGGCCGCAGAAACCGCACAGGGCCCAGGCTGCTGTGCTTCCCTCTGACCCCATTTCCATCGCAATGGCCGTGTCTGGAGGATACAGTGACCTCAGCTGGAGGATGAGCTGCCTGCTGCTCAGGCAGAGACAGACGGTGCAGAGAGAGGATGGCCGTCTTCTCTTGGGATTTTGTGGGCTTTTTTGCTTTGTTTTAGAACTTGGACTTGACCCCAAGGGCCCACTCATATCTGTTCTAGCTCCACTCCTTTCAAACTGAGAATCTCCCCCTGTGAGAGCAACCATTGACTCAGCAGCTGACAGTGTCTTTGCAGGATAATCCAGAGTTCTCTTCAGTCATGTTAGAAGCGTATGGCCTAGGGCCCTGTGGGTCATAGTGGGTAGTCAACTGGGTAGTCCAGAAAAGACCAGCATGTATATGAGGGCATGTTAGATGGAAGAATGCAAGTCTCCTGGAGGCAATCAGAGGAGAGAGCAGACTTTCTATGGAACCTTAGAAACCTGTTATAGCCACCAGCTCTCCTCCTGAATCCTTCATTCCTGATATAAGCAAAGCCCGCAGTCCCAGAGTGGACTATTCTTTCTACCCTTTACAAGATGGTGGGCTTCTAAAACTATTCTTTTTTTTGGTTTTTCGAGACAGGGTTTCTCTGTGTAGCTTTGCGCCTTTCCTGGAACTCACTTGGTAGCCCAGGCTGGCCTCAAACTCACAGAGATCCGCCTGGCTCTGCCTCCCGAGTGCTGGGATTAAAGGCGTGCGCCACCACCGCCCGGCATTCTAAAACTCTGCTTAGAGGGCATAAACACAGCAGCTTCTGAAAAAATACAGTCTGCTATCTTTTTTTTTTTTTTTTTTTTTTTTTTTTTTTTTTTTTCCCCAAGACAGGGTTTCTCTGTGTAGTTTTGGTGCCTTTCCTGGATCTCGCTCTGTAGACCAGGCTGGCCTTGAACTCACAGAGATCCACCTGGCTCTGCCTCCTGAGCGCTAGGATTAAAGGTGTGCGCCACCACACCACCACCCAGCCTATAGCCTGCTATTTTAAGAACCCAGGAAAGTGGTTGTAAATTATCACATGACAGGACCAGGAATTCCATAGAGATGATGGAACATAAGGTATGGACTAGCTTTCTCAGACTCGAGTTCCCTCTCATCAAGAATAGCATTGTCAGGCTTCTCGGGAGTTTTGAGGGGATCTGGGCATGTCAAGTAGATGGGGAATTCAGCCTAGCATGCCCTGCCTGGCTGTGATACCTCAAACACATTATTCTAAAGTGTCCATCCCTCTCTCTATTAAGTATCACTGAATGGGATAAGTAATTACAGACAAGAAAATGCACAGTCCAGACCCAGTAAAAAACCTCATTCCCCGCCCAAGCCTTTAGAGAGTCGCTTGCAGAAATGACACCAGCAGCCAGGGAACAATGAGACATATACAGCTTTATTTAATCTGTAAAAAGTCACACTCTGGCAGAGTGACACCTTCCTTATCTTAGCAGAAAGCAAGGCGTGTGTGAAAACCTCTTCCTCAGATTTGGAACCACATGACCTTGGCTGGGCTCACATCTGGATACTTCCAAGAGAAGAGTCCTTGCTGTGTGGCAGCTTCCTCCCAGAGGGTCTCCCTGGCTGGTATGATCCCTCACCGACAACCTGGACAGGGCTGCCCTGAGATTGTCCCCTTCCCTCCTATAAAGGGACACTTCACGCTTAAAACTTTCCCAGAAATGGGCTCCACTTCAATGTGACTTGGTGCCCATTAATGTTTGCTGAAACCTAGACTACACTTACTTATCATGGTGATGTGTTAATGATTCCTCCTCTACCCCATTAAGACCCTCACCATCGATGGCATTTTAAATCATACTGTCCCCTTCTATGGGACAGAGGGATGGAGAACCACTCTCCATCCAGACCTGGGAGGCACTTCCTGCAGAGTGTGGGTGTCTGGGAAGTGGTATCAGATGTACAGGGACAGCACTTCTGTCTGCAGAGTGGAGCCTGGCATTTTGTTTTCTGTCTTCCTTGGCTAATCTGGAGCTTAGGCCAATTCTTTGGAGAAAACTCCATGGTGTACAGACATCATTTTAGGTTTCAGATCCCTCCTTCTGACTTATACAATGGTATGCATGAATCCACTTGGACAAGGAAGGTGACTGCCACCTTGCCTGTCTGTGTAACGGGTGACTCTTACTGGTCACAGCTAATCAATGGTCCACACAGTAACTACAGTCCCCACATCCCTCAGATCTGCTCTCTCCTGAAATCACTGCAAATATTGTCCAAGTGGAACCAAAATCCAATCTTGTGGTCCAAGCCATCCAGATATCTGCTCTGCATATTTCCCTTTAAAACGCCACTGAGAATGCAAAAAAGTCCCTTTGCAGAAGCGCTACAAGAAAGCATGTCTAAAATCGCAGAACTATGCACACACAGACACAGACACGCGTGCTCGCACACACATGGAGTTGGGAATCAAAGAATCTCGTCAGGTACATATTTGAGGGAGCATAGGGAAAGGCTGGCGAGAGAAGATATGGAGATCAGATCGGATCAAGATGTTGGAATGTTACAGTAATGGCATGGTGTGGTTCTTGGTATATACAAAAAGGGGTGTGGAGAGAATGGGAAGTCCAGGCTATTAGAGAAAGGTTCTGTGGCCATGCATGAGTGAAAGACAGTGGAGGCCGCTGACAGGATGAGATGTTCTATTATGGAGTGGTCATTTCAAGGAGGAGGGACTTGCATGGTCCAGGGAGTAGCATCTGCTTAGCAAGACACCTCCATGGTCTGGTGTCTGTCCAGGACATCAGGGGACTCACAGGATTCTTGAGTTCCATCTGACTGATTGCTGGTCACAGACCTGCTAAAGGGACTTTCTCCAGAGCCAATGCTACTCGAGGTGGAGTGGGTTCGTGATCGGGCGAGCCGGGTCATGCTGGCAGACGGTACTGCAATAAAGAAGCAGGATATTAGAAGGAGCTCAGTGAAGCTCTGGTACTCTACAGTTTCACCAAAGACTCTATCTTTCCCAGCCCACCTAAGATGACGCCCAGGATGACAGAAGAGGTACCCCCACTTTGCACTATTTGCTCCAGGTGAGTGGCTGTATGCAAGGCTGCTTTGATCCCCTGCATCTCGATTCTCCCCAGATTCTACTTCAGAGTACAACGGGAAACCCTAAGGGCGGAGTAAAGCCTCTTAGCTGTGCCCCCGCCATTCATACAGTGATTAGGAAGGTGGCTTTGGGAACACATACTGGTGACCCAAACCTGCAGTGCATGCAAGACTAAACCAAAAGAAAGAATGACAAACCACACAAGTAGGAAGGTATTTCACAAACACAGTGCAAGCCCGATACAACAAGACTACCATCCGTGTCCACAGGCTACTGTTGCCCTCTGGGGAGGAGACACAGATGGGTAGAGGGGAGGGAAGGTGTTCTGGAGCTGATGACCATAGAGGGATGAGGTACAGGCTGTTGGGGATCAGGGGTTGAGAGGAAACTGACTCTGGGGTTGTTTACTTTAGACTCCTGTTTTGTTACCGTTACTAGTTTGACTCTAAGATCATTTAATTTCAGCATGGCCTGGACAGGGCTTTACCAGACAGAACTCACTGCCTATTATTCTGGATCTGCAGTCACTGTCCCTGCTGCCATTTCATCACTGGGGTCAAAAGACACCATCGCTGTGGGGCCTCTGGACACAGATGCTAACTAACACTTCTACCTAGAGTCAAGGCTGCAGGCCCTTTTGATTCCTGTCTAGGGCTCACTTCACGGATTAGGACATAGGTGGTGGTGGGGATCCCCTCCCCGAATTGTGCTTTAGCTGCCACTGTCACCCTGGCTGAGGACCGAGAGGAGACCTGCAGTTCAGCGGAATCCTCTTCCTTACAGGACCAGGCCTGATCTGCAGGGTCAACTCTTAGAACACACTAAGCCCTGTTCTATCGGGCTCTCACTGCACAGGGAAACCGCGGGCATGCTGCAGGCAGCCAATGCAGCAGGAAGAGCATGGTTGGGAGGCGGGCAGGGCCAGCACAGGAAGGTACCTGACTCGCTGCTGAGGTGACTGAGCTGCACATACGGGACTGGAAGCAGGATGGACACAGGAAAAGGCAGGTTAGTGACCCACACGAGCTAAGTGATAACTTTGGCTGCCTAGAAGATGCTGACAGGATACTGAGCCAGGGATGAACGTTTCTCTCAAGGTCCTAGAGAAGAGCATGGGTGCTTAAGCACCACCTTTAACGTCACTTCTCCAAACAGACAAAAGAAGCTACTCCATCCTCACTCTACAGGGAGCCACCCTACCTACCCTGGTTTAGAGGTCAGCTGCATGACCAGGTATTTTTCTGGAGAGAGGATGAGACTAGGCTAGGAGAGGACTTCTCCTGGTGAGCAGAGGGCCACGTGTGTGGGCTTGGTTGGTAGTAGCTCACAGACAGGGACAACATAGCCACTCTAGACAAGACAAACATGGTCTTCCTGGTAGCTACAGGTCTGAACCTAGGGCCCGGCTTCCGAGGCAGCTTGCCAATGGTCATTATCGAATGGACACTAAAGATGGAAAACCTGCTTGCTGGGTAAAGAGCTCTGTCTGGAGCTAAAGGTATTTATTTATTTCCCCTGAGAGAAGTGAGTGAGAGTTTCTGTGACGAAGTAGAAAGCTCAGGGGAGGAGGAAGCAGGAGCCCAAAACAGCAGCACATGACATGGATGTGCTCGACACACTACCAGCTTATCTCACGGCAGAACACACTTCACAAAGGACGCTGTCCTTTTCTCCTGGAGTAACTACTGTGTTCTGTGGGCCAGGTAAAACCTGCTGGGTTCAGATATAAATCACAAGATCTAATTCATGACTAAGGTAGCCAAAGCTTCAGTGATTAATGTGGGCCTGGTCAGACTTCTGAGATTTCAATCATGGCTATGCTGCTTATGGTTGGTTTCCATAAGCTAAACATTCTGGAGCCTCAGTATGCTATAAAATCACTTCTCAGAGCCAGGTGTGGTGGCGTATACCTTTAATCCCAGCACTCAGGAGGGAGAGGCAGGTGGATCTCTGAGTTTGAGGCCACTCTGATCTACAGAGTGATTCCAGGACAGCCAGTCTACACAGAGAAACCTTGTCTTGAAAAACAAAACAAAACAAACAAACAAACAGAAAAAAAATCACCTTAGTCTGAGGACATACATTAGCTGTCAGTATAACTTAAACACATGCACAGATGGGTGAATGCTCCATACTCTCTTGTTTTCTACTTAACGGCTGACTAGCAGATGGGCTATGTCCTGAGACTTGTGGTCTCCCAGATGGTAAATGTATCCTATTACCCATAAATTTCTGCTAAATAGAAAACATACTACTCACTGTAGCCCATTCCCTGCAAAAAGTACTTGAAGGCCTCCGTGAGCTTCCCAGGCTGGGGGAACAAACAAAGAAGGCATTAATTTGTACCTAAGTAGAGAGGTAGCAATAAGAGAGAGAGAGAGAGAGAGAGAGAGAGAGAGAGAGAGAGACAGAGAGAGACAGAGAGAGAGAGAATGAATGTAGTTACGTAGTTATTATGAGTGCTTTCTTACCTGAACTACTTGGGGCAGTCCTCCACAGTCTGCCATCTAGGAGAGGAAGAACACCTAAGTCAGCAGGACCTCCACTAAGGGGAATGCTCTCAGCATCCCAAGGCCTTTCAAAGAGGTCAGGAATGGCTGGGCAGTATGGGGCACACCTTTAATCCCAGCACTCGGAAGGCAGACAGAGACAGGCAGATCTCTGTGAGTTCAAGACCATTCTGGTCTACAGAGCGAGTTCCAGCCAGGCCAGGACAGCCAGAGCTACACAGAAAGGGTCAGGAATGAACTGTGGTCTCCCTGATGCTTAACTGCATCCATCTTTGCATCACTTCAGTGCACTCTATGCAGTCTTGATGCTGGCAATACCTTTGGACTGAAACCTGAGAGAGACGCCCAGTGCTCTTCGTTCCCAGGATGCCAGGCCTAGCTTCCGGGCCTGTGCAGGTGTTTCTTGTTAGGCTGACAGTGCTATCAGCTACAGCTTCCATCCTGGCTCTGCCTGCGTCCAAAAGCTTATTCTCACGGCCCTCAAACAATATGCTCCCATGGCTCAGCTTCGTAAGGTCCTGTGTCCCTGTCCTGAGGTCAGGGACAGGGTTTCCTGTGTTGCTTAGTCCTCCACTTCTTGCCTTTAAGTACTTAGGCACAGGCATGGGTTACCATGCCTGCTTTATAATTCCCTTCATCTCTTCATTGTCTTTATGACAAAGGGGTGTGATGCCATGAGGAGTGGAGACCTGTCTATTCCCTCCCCAAGCTGGATCTGGTGGTACTGTTCTTTACTTTTGAAGGGTTTTCATCAAGCAGTCTTAGAGCTTTGCTAGTATGCACGGGAATTCCCTGTTTACTCCTGACTCTTGGATATTACCCCAGCATTCTGCAATGAGGCTGGAAAACTCGCATTTCTAACATTGTGACAGAGATGTAGCAGCTGCCAGCCTGCGCTCAAGACTGTTCCCATTGCATGTTGGCCAAACAGAAACCAATGTATTCCTTCCAGCTAATATGATCTGACCTCAGAGAGAGGCTACTTGGCTGACTTGCCTCTATTTAAAGGGATATGAAGGGTCTGAAGAGATGGTTCAGTGGTTACAGCAAGTACCTGCTGCTCTTCCAGAGATCCTGGGTTCAATTCCTAGCACTCACATGGCAGCTCACAATTATAATTCCAGATCTAGAGGATTTTATACCTTCTCCTGACCTCACACCAGCCAAGCACATGGTGTATACACACACACACACACACACACACACACACACACACACACACACACACCATGCACACACATAAAACACACATACATATAAAATAAAATAATGAATTAAAGCTTTATGAATCCTCAGCCAGGTAGTGGTGGCACACAACTTTAATCCCAGCGTTTGGGAGGCAGAGGTAGGTAGATTTCTGAGTTTGAGGTCAGTCTGGTCTATAGAGTAAGTTCCAGGACAGCCAGGGCTGTTACACAGAGAAACCCTGTCTTAAAAAACCAAAGCCAGGGCTGGAGAGATGGCTTAGAGGTTAAGAGTATTAATTGCTCTTCCAGAGGTCCTGAGTTCAATTCCCAGCAACCACATGGCGTCTCATAATCTGATGCCCTCTTCTGATGTGCATGCAAAACACTGTATACATAATAAATAAATAAATCTTAAATCATTAAACAGGCTACTTTAAAAAAAAAAAACAAACCAAAAAAAACCAAACCAAACCAAACCAAAAAACCAACCTATATGAATCCCTGTTTCATTATTGGAATTAACAATTTCTTTAAATGGGAGCCATTAAAGACAGGAGAATACCACAGAAAACATAAGAATTTGAGGTTAAGAAGGAACAATTTGAGAAAAACAAGCATGAGAAGCAACCATTTAACCTGACAAATAAAAAACAGACCAAACTAGGATGGGCTGAGATTTTTGAAAAGTTTAGAAGCTAAAAACTGGTTAGAAGTAAGACATTGTTGCACATGCCTATAATGCAAGCCTTGTACATCTGGGGTAAGGCCACCCAGGTTATATAGTGAGTTCCAGGCAAGCCTTGACTATACAGAGAGCTACTGTTTCTATAAAAAAAAAAAAAAGAAAGAAAGGAAAGAAGAAAAAGAAATAAAGAAAAGAGAAGGAGGGGTTGAAGGGCTGCTGGGGGAGAGGCAGTCACTGTCTTTGGTGGCGTGGCCACGGTGACTTACTCAGGCTCCAGTGGCGAGCTCCACAGGATGCCATGTGGATGGCCTGGTTAAGCCCAGTGGGTTACAAAGTAAAAACAAAAAGACATGAGAGTGGGGTGGGGACTTGTTGGGACATGGGGGGAGGGCTTATGGGTATGGCAGAGGCATAACAAAGGGTAGGAAGAAGAGTGGGACCAGAAAATATCATGTCTGGGTTAGGCGTGGTGGTGCACGCTTTTAATCCCAGCACTTTGGAGGCAGGGGCAGGTGGATCTCTGTGAGTTTGGTCTTGTTTACATAATGAGTTCCAGTAGCCAGGGCTATCTGGGAGACCCTATCTCAAAAAAACAAAACAAAACAAAACAAAACCAATTAACAACAGCAAAACCAAAACAATAAATGCCTGAAACTGTCAAAGAATAATTTAAAAATAAATTAGAAGCTGGGCGGTGGTGGCGCACACCTTTAATCGAAACACTCAGGAGGCAGAGGCAGGCGGATCTCTGAGTTCGAGGCCAGCCTGGTCTACAGAGGGAGATCCAGGACAGGTACCAAAACTACACAGAGAAACCCTGTCTTGAAAGATCAAAGAAAAAAAAATTAGAAAAAGAAACAAAATAAAAATAAACCAAACACATGATTGATTAGAACCATAAAACAGACCCTACATGCAGAGAATGTGGGAAAACTACATATATTTTCTTTTTTGCAATGATGGGACCTCATACACACTAGGTACTCTCTGAAGTGCATCCCTAGCCCAAGAAAAACTATGTCACACATCGATGCCATCAGATACTTTTGAGTATCTGTTCCATCTGCCACAGAAGACGTCTCCTCTGCTCTAGGCTATTGTGAATAGGTGTGTGTGCCCAGAAATAAACCTTCATGGCTATTGCAGTAGAAAACTAATTGGAGTTTTTTTTTCTTTAAAAAAATATTTATTCTTTGACAATTGAGTTTTTCATTTAAAATTATGTGTATGTATGGATAAGCATGGTGGTGCACAACTTCAGACCCAGCACACAGGAGACAGAAGTAGGCAGATCTCTGAGTTTAAGGTGAGTCTGGTCTACACAGTAAGCTCCAGGTCAGCTAGAGCTACATAGTGAGACCTTGTCTCAAAAAAAACAGACAAACAAGAAACATACACACACACACACACACACACACAAAAAAAAAAAAACTACGTGTATGAGCTCACTGACAGACAAATAAGAAACACACACACACACACAAAAAAAAAAAACAAAACAAAACAAAACCGTGTATGAGTAGCACTGGCTACTACTCTTCCAGGGTTTGGTTGCCAGCATTCTGTCAGGAGGCTCACATCCATCAAGCATGCGCACACACGCACACACACACACCCCAGTTAATGTATTTAAAAATAACAATAAAATAAATCTTTAAAAAATAAAATTACATTTATGTCTATGCATATGAGTGCAGGTTGCCTGCAGAAGTCAGAGGTATCCGATTCCCTGAAGCCTTGGGACATGGGTACTGGGAACTTTGGTTGCTCTTTTGGGTCCTCTTCAAGAGTAGGATGCACTCTTAACCAATGAGCCTTCTCTCCAGCCCGTTAGTTTTCATTAAATTTTACAAGTTGCATTTCTTTAGTTTGTGTGTGTGTATGCCTATCATGCCTGGTGTGTATGGAGGTCAAAGCCTCTGGTGGGGGTCAGTTCTCCTCTACCACGTGAGATCTGGGGGTCCAACTCAGGTCGTCATGCTTGGCAGCAAGTGCCTTTACTTGTGGAGCCGTCTAGCTGGCCCATGGTTTTGTGAGCTAGAGTCTCTTGAAGCCCAATCTGGCCTAAACTTGGCATGTAGCTGAGGATGAACTTCAGCTCCTGGTTCTCTGCCTCCCAAGTCTGGTTTTTGAAACATGCACCACCATACTTTGTAAAAATTAAATCTGAAACCATAAATTTTTTTATCCATATTTTAGAGAAGGCCATCGATCATCGGGAGTCCAGAGCACCGGGAGTTACGCAGCTCCAAGCCCTGAGTGTGCTCTGTGTGTTCTGAGAACTAATGCTGCTGCTGCTGGCAGTGCCTGCCCTTCACACACACGAGAGAGAGAGGGAAGAGGGCAGGAGTCACGTGGAGGGACAGAGCAGGGGCAGCAGAGCAGCAGGTCAGCTCCCCAAACATGTGAGCAGAGACTCCAGCTCTGACAACACTCAGCCAGAGCTTCTGTAGGGGACACTTCATGAGGGTGAATTTCTTATTTGAGACAGGATTTCTCTGACTTGGCTGTCCTAGAACTCACTCTGTAGACCAGGCTGGCCTCGAACTCATAGATTCACCTGCCTCTGCCTCCCAAGTGCTGGGATTAAAGGTGTGTGCGCTGTCACCACCTGTCGAGGGTGAATCTTGATAATCTGGAAACTTAAAAGTACAAGGAGGCCTAAGAGAAAAAAATGTACCCCTTATCATTAAGAAATTCTTAGAAGTTTCCTTAAAAATGCAACAGGACTCAGGATATAAAGCATTCCCAGTACCTCCTTAGTTCTTGTAATTTTGTGCGTTCACTAAATGTTTATGACATAAATGGAGGAAAACAAATATAGGGCTATAAATATCTTCTAATCTTTGCTTGTTTGTTTTGTAGCTCAGGATAGCCTGGAACTCATTATATAGCTCAGGCTGGCTTTAAACTCATAGCAAACCTGCCTTAGCCTCCTACTAGTTGGAATTATTAGGCACAGGCCACCATCCCAACTTTCTTTCTTCTTCCTCTTCTTCTTTTTTTTTTTTCCCCAGACAGGGTATCTCTATGTAGCCCAGGCAAGAGACGCACTTGTATCTCCTGAGTGCTGGGATTAAAGGCATGTACCACCATGCTCAGACCTCCAGCTCCTCTGATCTTATGATCTAAAAACACATAGGGAAAAGAATACTAGTACTTTACAACATATTTTTTTAGTGGACAAGATATGAGAATTTAGAAAATGTATTCTTTGGGCTGGTGAGAGGGCTCAGAGGATAAAAGTGCTTGCAGCCAGTGCAGCCCAGCCTGACAACCTGAGTCCTGTCCTTGAGACCCACGTGGTGGAAGGAGAGAACTGACTTCTGTAACTTGTCCTTGTGTGTCTTGGCACATTGTGTCTACTACCGATAAATACATAAATGTAATTAATATGTTTTTCTTATTTTTAGAGAGAGAGAGAAGAGAACACACAAGTGCCCATGAGCAGAGGGAAGAGAATTATCCTTTCTGCATGAAAATACAGAGTTGAAGTGTATCTAACGTATCACAACTGGTTGGCTGTGAAAGAAGACACATTACCTTTAGCAAAGTTGTATTTATAGGGTCGAGGCGAGAATTACATTCAACCTGAAAAAAAAAAAAAAAAAAAACAATTTTATAAATTGCTAGACTTACCATCCCAGTGATCTTATAAGCCAAAGAGATTAGATGTCACGTGTGAGGCACACTTTGTCTGATGGTTCAGAGTTCATCTAAAATTTTGCCATTTCCTTTTCTGATGCTTTCAGTCTTTCAATGAACAACATGTTGAATCTAAAGGCTTTTCCTGCTCGTTATGACATGTGGGCAAGGAACATTCCTTCTCTGAGAGACAAAGAAGACTGTGGCCCTGTCCTGCTGGGATCTCCTCCATGTTGTCCTAGCACCAATGGCCTATCAGCTGGGCCTGTGCATTGTCTCCACCTCCCTGCTCAGTCCCTCCCCAACCACTGATTCTTCTGCCTCAAGGTCTCTGGCTCCCCAGTGTGAAGCTGAGTTCTTCTGTGACTGTTCCCTTGCAATGGTCAGCAAAATCAGGGATAGCAGCTTGGTACATCTCCATGTATGGGATCTTGTATCCTTCTATCTATGAAGGAAGGGACCTCAAAGAAAATATTTTGGGAAAATAATCTCGGAGCACATGCCCCATCACTGAGCTATATACCTCCAGCTGTCAAAGGACAATAGTTTATGGCTCACTCACTCAAACAGCTTTCCCTTATGTTTTCTAAGAATATACACATAAAACCTGTGATAATATACACCACAAAAGAAAATGAAATAACTTTGAAAACTTCACAGCTGTGTGGAATGAGCACATGGGAAGCCAAGTAGGGTTTTCAGAGATAGACAGGAAGGAAAGGTGGGTGTCTGGGGGCTCCCGGAGGCAGAGAGAGGCAGAGATAAACAGGAAGGAAAGGTGTGTGTCTGGGGGCTCCCGGAGGCAGAGAGAGGAGGGCCGTGCAGTCCCCGTGTCACTAGAGTGGCGAGTGTCAAGTGCAGATGCACAGAGGCAAAGCCAGGGCAGACTGGAGCTCACTGTGGAAGGCAGAGGGTTTCTGAGGTGACAAGGTCTGAGTGGTTAGCAGAGCAGTGGCATGTGTGCATACTGAAGAGGCAGTGGGCCCATCGGGAGTGGCTCTAGTTACCTAGGCAAGAATCAGCAATCCAGGTGAACTCTGGATCTTGGGATGCTGATGGGCAGATATACAACACTCCTCTAAAATCAGGAGGTGATCTAAAAGCCAAGATCAATCAGGTTTAACTTGCTCTATGTGAATGACAATGCAGGTTGTGATAAATGCACCATTTTTTCTACAGCATATGCAATGATTCTACAGGTAGAATTTTAAAGTGGGTATCTAATGGCTAGTCACAGTGCTCCGAACTTAGTGGACAAGCTATAAATATTTTCTAAGAAATCAATTTCCATGTCCGGATTTAGCATAATAAAGCATGCTTTCCTTTATCTACTACTTTGTAATTCATACAATTGACGGTGTTTCCATGTTTAACTAACCACAATCACCAGGGCCCAGTGTTTTCTTGCAGGGCTGGAGACTGACCCCAGGGCCTTACATGTGAGTGCTCTGCCTTGAGCTACATTCCCAGCCTCAATCACTGGACTCTGACACATCTATGCATTTTCCAAATCCCCAAATAGATAGATCTGTTACTCCTTAGCCCTGAACAAATAGGGGATGCTCAAAGCGATGCTGAATTAGTGAACAAAGCCAGGTATCAATCCTGAACTAGCACCTGTGGAGCTTCTCTGGATAGTCAGTCCCAGGGCCACCTCTCAAGTCCCCACCACCAGAGGCATAGGGGGCTCTGGCCAGGGAGTCAGGTCTAACGGGTGATTAGAGGAGTGTCTACTCTGTGTTTTGGATGAGGCCCCTCCTCTCAAAAAAAAAAAAAAAAAAAAGAAGCGTGGAAATAAGATAAAAAGGCCTTACTTATTTGGCTAAACTATGCCTTTAAAAAATAAACGAACACGCTATTTAAGTCAACACAAGAAAAAGCGTTGTGGCCCTCTGCAGCCTTATTTGCTGAATCTGTGGTGGTTAACTTCCCTTAAGTGGAAGGCTGAGTGCCGAAAATCTGACAATGACTGCCACAGAATGGACAGCAGCACACTGTCAAGGACCACACTAACCAATCTGATGAGACCTGGTGACAGCTGAGGAACTGATTTTCAAAACATGTAACAGCAAACCCTGGTAGGTGCAATTAGATACAGCATGGCCCCATGTGGTCATGTTCCCATGACACACGTCAGCGGTGTGCCTGCCACATACATTTGACTACACTTCAACCCCAGCCTGCTCACATCAGGACATGCTTACCACAGCCTCCACAGCAGGTGAATTGTCCCCCACCACCAGTAAAGTAGAACACCTAGGAACACGAGGAAGAAGAGGAGTCAGTCAGCAAGTAAGCACAAACACTGGGGACGATGGATTCGTCATGACAGGCAGATACACAGCCATTCAGTGGGGAGACTCAGGGACTTACTTCAGTGTTTTCAGCCTGTTATCATTTTGGCCCAGTATAGGTCTTTCAATCTCCAGGTCTCTGCGTCTAGACAAACCAAGCAGAATCAGGGTCATTTGCAGGAAAATCATGGCCCTTTATGTGTTTCCTGGACATGTAATCAAGAGTATGGCAGTCTAGGAACATTGTCTTCTTCACACCTGAGGATGGAAGGGCCCTGAGCGTTCTACTGAGGCTGTTTCCATGGCACCCTGCATGCTACAGAGCAGGAACAGGGATTTTATGGGATGCTAAAAAGGGGGAGAACTTTAAAACTCAAACAAAAGCAATACTGAAATCCTCAGGTCTAACGAATTTTCCAAGTGGTCTGTAGGAATGAGCCCCTTAGGAGGAGGGAATGGCATACTTTTATTTGGGAAGAGGGTTATACTTACAATAGCTTTGCATAGAGCTGTTATCTTTTTCATTTCAATTAAAAGCAGGAAAGCTCTCCAGATTCAGAAGTTAGCATTGCACCTTACTGGGTGTGTAACTGCAAACTCAGCGCTGACAAATGCAGCCTTTCCCACCACATCCCCTCTTTGGAAAACTACTACTAGGGAGGAATCAGTGCTCTCTCCTCAGCCTACCCTCTGACAGGAATAGACAAGAAAGTAAAGTTTGAGATACTCAAGAAAAAAAGGGTTGACTTACATCCACATCATGATGAGGTATCAGCAACCAGAATCAAAATCAAGCCCTAGTGTTCTCTCCATTGTCTTCCTACATGTGCTTCCCTTCAGGTCCCCATGATTATTTGCTTTTCTTGAATATATGTAAGTTAGCTTTCTTTCCCCCCCACACTCAGGACAACCTAGAAACTACAACTCTTTTCAGAACTCACAGTTTACTTCTTTAAAGCTCTGGCTAAAATCGGTCTTATAGCTCTTCCATCCTAGAATGGCCAGACAGCACAGGTAATACAACAATGGCAGTAGATTATTTCTCCTCTCTGCTTTCTTAGAAGTCACACGGATTTTAGAGCTGGACTACACAGTTAACTGAAGGAATGAGAAACTCTACCCATTATAGGAACCGAGGAAGAGCTGGAGATTTTCTTGGTTGATGTCTTGGGCAATGTGCAGTCTGTAGGTTTGAATGAGGTCCAAATTGGCCTGCAGTTCCTCCTAGAACAAGTGAAAGAAAACACCAGTAAACTGGGCTGCAGAACAAGTCCATCTTATCTGGTTTGTATTTTCAGTGGCGATAGACTTTCCGCTCATGAGGGGACTTGGGGTGGAGCTCAGGATTTACTAATGCACAGATACACTGAATGGCTAACATCTTTTTTATTTGCCTCATCCATAGTTCAGTTCCATATTCTGTGGCAAATGAGGGCACCAACTGGTATATGGAATGGCATATACTAAAGACAGTTACATAGAGCCAAAAATGTCAGGCCCAGACAGTATACACTATGATTTTACTTATTTCACGTTCAAAAACAGGTAAAGTAAAGAAGAGAGGTAATAGAATAGTGGGTACTTTGTTTAGGGGGATTAGTGATTAGGAAGAACACAAGAGAACCTTTTTGGCTGATATATAGTATATGTGAATTATGTCTCCTTTATTAATAAAACAATAGGATGGAGGCCACCCACCAATAAAAGATTGAGATTAAAATCCCAGCACTTGGAAGGCAGAATGAAGAGGATCCCAGTTTGAGGCCATGCCTGGGCATAAGGCACTGTCTCAGAGGCAAGAGAGGGAGGAATCAGAAGACTTAAAGAGTGACTGCCTATAAGAAACAGGACATGAGATGGCTTGCAGATTTTCTGTGATAAGCCTGTATAAGCTCCTTTCTCTAAAATAAAAGTAAATTTGTTACACTGATAAAATGTGATGAAATAAAAGAAAACAATGAAGGAAAGACTATTACTTTGGAGCTGGACTTTGATTCAAAGGTCAGCTCCATCATTTTCTGTGTGGACAATGGTGGAATATTATGCTGTGTTTCTGTCCTTTGTTTCCCTATCTTAAAAAAAAGGCAAAGGTGCTGGAGAGATGGCTCAGTGGTTGAGAGCACTGGATGTCCATCCAGAAGATGAAGGCTTACACTATATACACAAGATGAAAAAACTTAGTCCATACATAATCAGTAGGTAATACCAACTCAATCTATTCGAACCTTCCATGTTCCTATAGGCGTCTTTAGAATTAGGTATGCAGGCTGACCAGCCTTCACCCCTCACTGTAACTGTTCCTCCACACTCCAGCAACCTCACAGCTCTTGATCTCACTGCTCAGTTCCTCCATCACTCACTTTTCCCTTTGAAAACAGGACAGGAGGCAAATCCCCACCAACAATTATCCACAGGACCACAGTCACCCCTGCTGGAGATTCC